CACACAGAACACATGTTCTAAACCCCTATATTTCCATGTGCCTCTAGGTTTATTCTCAACCATAGCAGACACAATATGGACTGGTGGGAAAATGTTTGAACATCATTGTGGTAGTTAAGGAAAGAAACCAAAGCCCCACTTCTAGCTCTGTCTCTACCACTGACTCACCCTGTGCGTAACCTCTGGAATACATCCTTCTCTTCTGAGCCTTTTCTACATAGGTCAAACCAGAGGTTTGATTCATTGAATCTGCTTGCTCCTTGCCCCTCCCCCCCCCGCCCCCCCCCCCCCCCCCCCCCCGCTTCTTACTCTTCCCTCCAACATTTACCCTGCCTGAGAGTCTGAAACTCATGCCAACTGCTCTGATGAGGCCACGTGGGAGAACCAGACGTCTGTTTTTAATATTGATGACAGATTAGCGTGCGGGGAATTCAGCCACCGCCCCCCCCCCCAAACAAGCCTCTTTTCTGCTCAAAACAACTGGAACAGGAGGCTACTTGTGCTTGGCTTTTCTAGCAGAGTCTCAGAACTGAAAGAGCAATGGCTTCTCCGAAGGAAACAATGAGGGTGCCAAGCCCAAGGAAGGGGCAGGGACAGGGGACATGAGAGAGAGGGAACATTTCAATAGCATACAAAGATGTGGAACAGATGGCAGCCTTAAAGGTGGTGTGTGTCTGCATGCATGCATGGAAGAAGAGTGAGATGTGTGCATGCACCTATGTCTGCACACACACATACACACACACAAACACACACACACTGATGAATACTTTCAGCACTGGACATGTCTGCTACAAAAAATCCAGGGAGATAGAAAGACAAACCCCACATTTCCCTATCCTGGCTTCACCTAACCAAATGTGTGAGTAATCCTGACTCTATCCCAAACAAGTCTGAAACCTTTATTTTGTTGCTTCCTTCTTAACATTTACTTCTCTCTCTCCTCTCAATCTCTTAACTAATGGAAATAGGAAAGAAACAAGTTTATTAGTACCTATGATGTCTTCAAAATTGCTATAGTTGGTCCTCAACATAGCTTTGGAAAGGAGGAAAGCAGGACCTACAAAAGATACTGACTGGTCTTAGAAGTGGAAGAAACTAAAGCCAGATACCAGATCATCCAAAGTTCCTCTTTCTTCATTAGGCTAGGAGCAACAAGATAAAACTCATAGATGTGAGCTGAAAGGTTTAAATTGGATATAAATTCCTTTTCCAGAGGTCTTAAGAGTTTATATACGAAATGTTCCTTCCAAACACTAATATGTTCAACACTAATATGTTCTCCAGCTGGTAGATCCAGGCATTGAGAAGTGACTAGATCAGAGCATTATTTATCCCTGATTCAGTGGATTCACTCACTGATGGATTTATAATTTGATGGAATTGGTAAAAAAACAAAATTGGAAGTAAGGGCTGGTTGGTCACTAGGAACATTCCCTAGAAGGATTGATCATCTGAGCACTTCCATTTTATTAGAGAATTAAATTAGTAGTATAAAAATTACTAAAAATTATGTTGGAGGCTGGGAAGGTGACTCAGTGGCAGAGAGCTTGCCTTGCATGCATGAGGCCCTGGGTTCGATTCTAAGCACTACATAAGCAGAAAAATCCGGAAGTGGCACTGTGGCTCAAGTGGTAGAGCGCTAGCCTTGAGCTGAAGAGCTGAGGGACAGTGCCCAAGCCCAGAGTTCAGGCTCCATGACCAACAACAACAACAACAAGAGTATATATATATATATAATGTTGGCCCAGCTGGTTCCATCAGTAACTTCTACCAAACAACTAAGGACAAAGTAACTGGCTTTAATCCAATCAGTTCTTGAGAAGATAAATTAAAAAAAATAAAAATCCCAAAATATTTTACAATTCATTTCACACAAATATATAATCCTGGTAACACAAAAGGCAAAAGCATTGTATAAAAAGGAGTAAATGGATTAACATCCTTAGGAATATACATATAAACATTTTTATACACACATATGTAAACATTTTTGTTGGGAGTGTAATTCAAGTGGCGAAGCAGTTACATTTAATGAGTCTAAGGTTCTAGATTCAATCCCTAATACAGGAAGGAAGGAAGGAAGGATAGGATGTGGTAAGAAGGGAAGGATGGAGGGATGAAGGATGGAGCAAGTGAGGGAAGGAAATAGAAAGGAAAGAAGAAATGTAGGAAGAAAAGAAAAAGAATAAAGAGAGAGGAAGAAGGGAAGGATGAGGGAAAATGAAGGAAGGAAAGAATTTTAGTGTGTGTGCCAGTCCTGGGGCTTGGACTTAGAGTCTAGGTATTATCCCTGAACTTTTTTTTGCTGTAGTACTCTACCACTTGCGCAACAGTTCTACTTCTGCCTTTTTGCTAGTTAATTGGAGATAAGAGTTTCACAAATGTTCCTGCTCAGGCTGGCTTTGAAACACGATCCTCAGATCTCAGTCTCCAAAATAGTTATGAATACAGGTGTGAACCACCAGTGTATGGCTAGGAAGGAAATTTTCAAGAAGACAAAGAAAATCCTTAATAAAAATTTAACATACCAAATATATTTTTAAAAGAAAAACATTGTCACCATGTGAAATTCATCACAGAAATGAAGTCATTTTATCACTTGAAAATTCATCAGTGGAATTTATGATCTTAGTGAATTAAAAAGAATAAAGTATATGATCATCTCAATAGATACAGAAAATCAACATCTAGCCCTAATGGAAGCAACAATAACAAAAACTCCTAGCAAGCTAGTAATAGAAGGTATCGTCTCCAGAGTAGCAAAAGAAAGCCACAAAAATATTAGTCAACTTTATACTTAATAGTGAAAGTCTGAATACTTTCAGCTTAATACTAGAAACAAGGCAAAGATAACTTTTCTTGACATTTTTGTTCAATAAAGTACTAGAAATGGAGGCCAAAGCAATCAGAGAAAAAAAAGCCATTTAGGTTGAAAAATAGTAATATGATTATATTCTCTTTTTGAAGATGACTTGTTCTTATATATAAAATGTTTAGGAATAACTGAACTTTTCAATCCTGGAGGAATACAAGTGGAAGGAATTTTGAAAAGATGTACTAAAATAATATCAAGGAAGTAGGACTAAAGTAGCTTCCAATCCTGGAATTTTCTGCTGATATTAAAGGAGTGAGAAAATATACCGAAGAATTGCAGAAGGCCTAAGTGTCTTGTATTGAGGGGAGAATGAGGTGACCTAGAAGCCTTTGCAAGGAGAAGGAACACTAGGGATTTGATGAGGATGTTACCTGATATATAAGAATAAACACTATTTTAAGAGTAAGACGTCTGGTTGTAAAGTCTAGTTCTACCACATATAAGTTATATGATTCCAGAGACTCACTTTATCTGCAAAAAATAAGTTTGGTAATCATTATTACTTTCCTCTTCTCTAATTCTGAAAATAAGAGCATGCACTAGAGATATGGACATTATTGTTAAAGGATAAATCCACCTAGTAGAGATCTTCCATTTCCCTTGGTATCTGTAGTTTACAACTTCTAAAATCATGAAATACTATGCCACAAAGACTAAAACACACACACACACACACACAAAATACACACAGTCATAGATACTGACAAATCTTAGTACACATTTTATTTAACTGCAAACAAATGAACACAACTCCACATAAACTTACACTAACACAGAGATGCATAATGTGGCATAAACACACAGGCAACATATACATAGACGCAAAAGGCTAGAAAGTATTAAGTGAAATCCAAAGGAGCAGGCAAAACAAAATGACCAATCTCTGTTCTTCGAATAGACACTCCACAAAAGTGACTCTGCCTCCAACTTGTTCTACCTTTTCTGCCAACACATCAAATAAGTCATATCCATCTTGGGCCCCAAAATACCATGTGGCTTTTCCTGTCATTCATTACCTTGGCTTCCCTGACCTATTATTCTACATTCACAGCCTCACTGTACTGGTTTCTTCCCAATCTCAGAGGAATCAAAACAAAAAAACCCAGAAAGGAAAGTATAAAAGACAAAGAAGAGAGATACAGAAAATCATAAGGGTTTTCCATTCATTCATTATTTGTTTATTCAACAAATATTTGAATGTCAGACTTATTATAGGTGTTGGGAATTCAACCTGATTTTAAAAAGGCATCATCTTTCCTTGTATTTAGAATGTAATTGAGAAAAATTATTCTTTAATTGTCTCAATAATTCACTCAGCTCAGGATTAAAACTGAATTTGGATAGCTGTCACTCACTGGCAAACCTTGAGTTAGTCTCAGTTTCCTAATCTATGAAATGTACACGATAAATGTCAACCTTCAATGAAGTACTTAGCTCAGTACTTAGCATATGATGTAGATGCCTAATCAGTTTTATAGATGGAAAACAATAATTACTGAATGGAAGTCAACAGAGAATGCAAGCACCCAGTGCAGGTCATAGGTGAATGCTGGCTTTTGGCAGTGTCAGTGATTTAGAAGAACTCAGAGGTAATGGTCTAAGTTACAAACGAATGTAGGTCTTTTTAAAGACATCTTTCTCATCATCCTTCATGTTCAGTTGTTTCCAATTCTTTCTTCGCAGTTCTTGTTTAGGAGGACTATCACAGTATATCTCATTTGAAAATCCAATCATTTGAATTTCCTCATCTCAGCTTCAGAGAAAATATGTTTACAGACCAAAGTTTCATTTGTAGGCTTCCCCAAATAGAGAAAAATAAAAAAATAAAAATACTTAAATAGGACCAACTTCATATTCTGTCTACAATGTTAAAGGCCTAACTCAGAGAAAATTTCCCAACACAATTTGTTATCTTTCCTAAATTAATATCATACACAAAACAACAACAAAGAAACAAACAAAAAACATGGAGCGAGTACCAGAAGAAGAAAAAAAAATTCAAGGAACAATGAAACTTCCCAGTGCCTGCCTGGGCCAGAGGACATCCGGTCTCCAGACATTAAACAGTACATTTCCCTCCCCTGCCACAGCATCTCAGCCAAATGGGAAAGAACCTGCTCACCTGTGTAGAGGTCAGTGTCTGTGTACTCGTCCACCTTCTTGTGCTGCAGGATGTAGTCAGAGACTTTGGTCCCAATAGCTGGCTGGACATCTACCCATTCCAAGGAGACCACAGTGCTGGAGGGCTCTACGGATGGGGACAGCCGCAACCTACAGGAGATATGACAGTCAAGGTTGTTTGTTTGCCAGGCAGCATCAGCAGCATGTGCTAAGGTTGGAAGCAAAGGTTTGAGCCTGGCTTCACATTTTGAATTTTTCTAACACTACTAATCCCTAAGTGGCTTCCAACAAATCATTTCTCTTCTCGAGGATTCATTTTCCTCATCTATAAATTAGGGATACAAAGAACTATCTTGTATGATCAACAACTTGATCATGGCACACACAATGTGTTCAATGAAAATGGGTTCATTTTCCATTTATTTCTACTGTATTCTCAGGGATGATCTGTTTCTTAAATAAATTGACAGTGATTTCAGACAAAGGAGCTTTTAATCTTTTCCTTAAAAGGAGACTCAAAAGTCAATACTCAGGACTCCTGGAGTGAATTGATTTTCAAAGCAGCAAAATTCAGAATGATTGAAGATTACAACTGGATTGGGGCTGAGAAATCATGAAATATAAGATAGGCATTGGTGGTTCATCAATACGGTGAGTTGAGATTCAGAGGATCACAGTTCAAGGCCAGCCCAGGAAAAGATGTCAATCAATATGCTGGGCATGGTGGTATGCGTCTATCATCCCAGGTTAGCCCAGGCTTCATTTCAATGACAAAATCTGGATATAATGGCAGGTACCTGTCATCACAGTTCTGAAGGGAAGCCTAAAATAGGTAACTCATGGTCCAGTTGCAGACCTGGGCAAAAAGTGACACTCTATTTCTGTACACCCAATGCAAAAAAAGGCTAGAGGCATTGTTGAGTGTTAAAAAGCCTACCTAGCAAGTAAAAGGACCTGGTTCAAAGCCCTAGTATGGCAAAGAAAAAAAAAAGATGAGAAGAGAAAAGAGGAAGAGAGAGAGAAAGAAAGAAGGAAAGAAGAAAGAAGGAAAGAGAAAGAGAGAAAAGAAAGAAAGGAGAGAGAAAGAAAAACAGAAAGAGAGGAAGAGAGGAAGAAAGGAAGAAGGAAGGAGAGAGAGAGAGAAAGAAAGAAAGAGAAAGGAAGGAAAGAAGGAAGAAAGAAAGAAGGAAGGAAGGAAGGAAGCAGGAAAGGGAGGAAGAAGGAAGGAAGGAAGGAAGGGAGGAAGGGAGGGAGGGAGGGAGAGAGGGGAGAGAGGGAAGGGAAGGAAGGGAAGGGAAGGGAAGGAAAGGAAGGAAGGAAAGAAGAAAGGAAGGAAGGAAAGGAGAGAGGGAAGGAGGAAGGGAGGGAAGGAGGGAGGGAGGGAGGAAGGAATCAAGCAAGCAAGCAACTTGGGCAGAGGTGGCTCACACCTGTAATCCTTCCTACTCAGGAGGCTGAGATCTGAGGATCACAGTTGGAAGCTGCCTGAGTAGGAAAATCCTTGAGACTCTTATTCTCCAATTAATTACCCAGAACTCAAAAGTATTTCTATGAATCAAATGGTAGCGTGTTAGCCCTGAGCAAAACAAGCTCAGGGATAGCACCCAGGCCCTGAGCTCAAGTCCCAGTACTGGCACCAAAAAAAAGAAAAAAAGAGAGCCAGGTTCTGGTGGCTCAGGCCTGTAATCCTAGCTACTCAGGAGGCTGAGATCTGAGGATCATGGTTCAAAGCCAGCCTGGGCAGAAAAGTCTCTGAGACTCTTATCTCTAATTAACCACCAGAAAACTGGAAGTGGTGCTGTGGCTCAAGTGGTAGAGTGGCTCACCTTGAGTTGAAGAGCAAGGGACAGTGCCCAGGCCCAGAGTTCAAGCCCTATGATTGACATGAGAGAGAGAGAGAGAGACAGACAGACAGACAGACAGACAGACAGAGACAGAGAGAGACAGAGACAGAGAGAGAGACAGAGAGACAGAGACAGAGAGAAAGAGAGAGAGAGAGAGAAGAAAGTGTAATTTCTTCATGTCACAATGAGAACAGGGAGGAAGGTATAGAAAAGGCAAGTGGCTTGCTAAAGGTCACACAAGAAGTTGGGGAACACAGCAACCGTGACAACACTGCTGAACCTCAGCCCAGACTCCTTTTCTTCTATCGCAGGGCACTCACCTCTTAGAGCATGTGATCTTGTCATCCTATGGGAAGATCTTGTGGGACTCTGCTTCCCAGGACTGCTCCTGCCCAATTCTTTTTTCCTCTTCTCCCTAATCACATTCCTCCAATCAAGATAACCTACTGCCGCAGATACATGTTCTGCATCGGGCCTGCACATATGTTATTCTTCTGCCTCAACCACGATTCTCAGGGTTGCTTGGCTACCTGGCTATATGACTATAATGTAGGTCTTTTCAAAGAGAATTTTTTCAGATAACTCATCTTTGTCTCCCACCTAGCAGTCCACCATTATTCATTCTCCTTATGAGCAACTATTTGTTTTTGCTATTGTTATTTCATTTTATTATTTATTTTTTGCTGTATTTTGAGAGAGTCTCATTCTATAGCCAAGACTGGTCTTGAACTTGTGTACCTTCTTGCCTCCCAAATGCTGAGATTATAGGTATGTACTACCATACTAGCTCTTACTGAACTTTTTAAACTGTCTTATTTTCCTTTGGTTTAAGCCTCTCCTACTGAGTTACTAGCGACCTTCATGCAAGAATGTACCTATCTTAATTTCCAGTGCCTTTTACATAGCAAGTATCCCAAAATGCTGAAGTATGAACTCCACTGGAAGCAAGAAGTTTTGTTTTCTTTGTTGTTGTCTTTGATTTCTATTATTCTTGCCTTCTTTGTTCATTTATCTGTCTTTGGGAGGGTAAAGGGGGCACAGAAATGGAGGGACAAAGTGCAAATAAATGCAGCGTGGTACTCACTAGACATGATGTTGAAAATGAACTATTCAACTTGTGGGTGGAGACAAGAGGGAAAACTGAGAGAGAGCAAGGGGAGGGGTGACATGTACTCATTACCTGACTTATGCAACTGTAACCCCTCTGTACAGCACCTTTAGAATAACAATAGATAGCTTAAAATCATTGTAGCTCCTTAGGAAAGTTCCTGTCTTTATCTCAGTAGGCCCAGTACCCCAAAGGGACAAAGTACAAGTCACTGGCCCAGCTAAACCTCTTCTGAGCTAAGGAAGGAAGGCTTGGTGTGAGGCATCATTTTAAATAACACACCCCATAATGCCTCGTATAAAATCTCCCCCTTTTTGCAGAGCTCCTTCTTTCTCCCCCAAAATGGTGATCAGGCATCAGAGATTCCAGGGATCCAGTTATGCATCCTGGCAACAGAATTAAGCCCTGGCCTGCGTTGGCAAGGCAAGAGCACGAAGAAAGGAAGATGGGCTGCAGATACGTACACCGGCTGTGGGAGAGGGCTACAGTTGGGAAGCCCACTGGCATCAAAGGCACTGAGGTCACACCTGCACCAGTCGTCAATCACGTCCCCTTTGCCCGAGCACCAGTAGGAACTCATCAGGGCACTCTTGAAGGCCTGGAAGGATAACAGAAAGAGTGGTCAAGGTCACAGTGGCAAAACAGAGAATAGTGTTGAGGACAGCCATGTTGTCCGACAATGCCATGGACACCAATTGTGCTCAAATCCCTTGCACTGGCAGCATCAGGAATATCTCCCATCCCGAGACACTCTGTACTCAGCACTCTGAGTGGCTCCAGAGATATAACACTAAGAGCATCCATTGAAACTTCTTCTGACCCTGGCATTGTACAGGGATTAACAACTGTGATCCTCACAGTAACTCCACATGAGAAGTTACTGTACTGTTATTATCATTATTCTCTCATTTAACAAAATGGAAGCGTGAAGCACACCAGGAAGTAGGTAACTTGTCTGCATTTCACAGATAATAAATGATGAAGTTTAGATCTGAATCGAGGGAATATTGCTCCAAGTCCTGCCCTGTTAGAAACACCCTGCTAGCCAGGTGCTGGTGGCACACGCCTGTAATCCTACCTACTCAGGAGGCTGAGATCTGAGGATCATGGTTCAAAGCCAGCCCAGGCAGGAAAGGCCGTGAAACTCTTATCTCCACTAACCACCAGAAAACTGGAAGTGGTGCTGTGGCTCAAGTGGTAGAGTGCTAGCCTTGAGCTGAAGAGCTGAGGGACAGTGTTCAGGCCTAGAGTTCAAGCCCCAGGACCAACAAAAAAGAAAAGAAAAGAAGAAATACTCTGCTACAATGCACTGAACACTGATCCTGATCCTCTCACAGAAGCTCCAAGTTTCAGCTCCTGGCCACCTCCCCAGTCTTACTTCTTGTCACCCTGATGATCTTCCAAGCATAGCTCTAGCCACTGTTTTGCAACCACCATCATAGTGAATCCCTGCCTAGGTGCAAATAGAGAGACAATGTGCCTATCTATTACCTTCTGTGTATGAGATATGCATATGACAGTAATCTCCTCTACAACTCTACTTTATTATCTGTATTTTTGGAATAATTACCAATCTAGCCAGAAGAGTGAATCAGTGAGAAAATGTTTATCAAGTTTCCAGGATGGTGAATGTATATGTCATTATAAAATATGGATAGGGTTCTTGGAAACATGATGGGTGGAGTCACCAGGAGTTGTTTTCTGTCCTGTATGCACAGGTGCTCTACATCAGAAGACAGCTAAGCATACTCTATGAAGGAGCAGGGAGTAACTACTTTTAGCAACTGGATCATATTTGCCAATAATACTTAACACTGCATTTGCAGCAATAAAGTGGCTTAGGCAATACTTTAAGCAGATATAGTGTGTTCCAGTAACACTTACAAATATTTACAAAGATAGGAAGTAGGCTAGATTGGGGTTGATGGCTGTAAATGATGAACAGCAATCTAATGCTGTTTGATTGTCTTTTTATTTTAAGAGCTCCTTACACTCCAACTCACTCTTTTCATCTCACTATGAAACTGCTTGTTCTCTGGATAACTCACCCTGAATTCCTTAAACTTGGAATTAAGCGTGTTCCTTTTCTAGACATCCTTATTTACTTTTATTTTTATTTATTTATTTGCTGGTCCTGGGGCTTGAACTCTGGGCCTTAGTGCTGACACTGAGCTTCTTTTGTTTAAGGAAAGTGCTTTACTAGTTGAGCCACTGAGCCACAGCGCCACTTCTGCCTTCTTCGAGTAGTCCATTGGAGATAAGAGTCTCATGGAGTTTACTGCCTGGGTGAGCTTTGAGCCGTAGTCCTCAAATCTCAGCCTCTTGAGTAGCTAGGAGTACATGCATGAGCCCTTGGCCACCTGGCTTCCTCTAGACATCTTTAACGCTAGATCATTCCAACCACCCCATAGCCATGCCTGCCCCGTGCCTGTCTCACCCCAAGACATTGATTGGCCAGGACAAGGACTGGGACTACTCCCATAAATGCCCTCACAGGTTTTAGCACAGTTATTCCATTGATAATACTAATAAATTAATGTGCCTTGAAAACATGGTTATTAGGTAAAAAGAACCTGGAAGGCATTTTTTTTTCAAGTCACCTGAAAAGAGGTCTCATGTGTTCCCTTGTACTTTCTTTCCCTCTTTCAGATACAGGTATAGGAGATTCTTTCAGATACAGGTATAGGAGATTCTTTCAGCATGTAACATGTGCTTGATGCTTAAGATACTGGTTAAGCCATTCCATTCACATTGTAAGTCACTGAACATATGACAGCTATCTTTAAAATCTAAGGATTCTGCAGGGTCTATCAACTGATGAGTACATAAAGAAAACACACACATATATTTAAATATGTATATATATTATTCAGCCATAAAGAAGAATGAAATTATGTCATTTGCAGGAAAATATATAAAATTGGAAGTCATCATGTTAAGTGAAGTAAGTGAGGTTGAAAAAGACAAATATTTCATGTTCTTTCTCATATGCAGAAACTAGACCTGGAAAAAAAAAGAATGACACAAGTATAAAACTAAGTGATCTGTGTGATGGTGGCTCATGCCTGTAATCCTAGCTACTCAGGAGGCTGAGATCTGAGGATCATGGTTCAAAGCCAGCCCAGGCAGAAAAGTCTGTGAGACTCTTATTTCCAATAAACCACCAGAAAACCAGAAGTGGTGCTGTGGTTCAAGTGGTAGAGTGCTCCCCTTGAGCTGAAGAGCTGAGGGACAGAGCCCAGGCCCAGAGTTCAAGCCTATGACCAATAAAACAAACAAACACTAAGTGTTTGTTTTTTTTGTGAAGGGGGGAGGGAACCAATAGAATAGAGGAATAAAAGGGGAGGAGAGGAGGTAAATGTGACCAACTACTTCATATGCATGTAGGAAAATAGAATAATGGAATCTTCTAACTTTTTTTTTTTTGCTCAAGGCTAGCACTCTACCACTTGAGCCACAGTGCCACTTCTGCCTTTTTCTGTATATTTGGTACTAAAGAATCGAACCTAGAGCTTCGTGCATGCTAGGCAAGCACTCTACCACTAAGGCACATTCCCAGCCCCCCACTAACATTTTAAAAACAGAGTAGAGGGGGGAATAGAAGAGTGTGAATTTGATTGAAGCATATGGCCTTGTGCTGGTGGCTCACGCCTGTAATTCTAGCTACTCAAGAGGCTGAGATCTAAGGATTGTGAGTTCATTTTCTTAAAGAATTACACAAGCCCTTTTTGCATTTCTCCCAAAGGTTTTGACCAAAGCCACTAATGAATCCTGCCACATATTCTTATCAAAGCTAGCTTTGGCAGTAAATTTAGAGGTTTTGGTAGTTAATCTCCAACTAAGTACCAAAGAGCCAGAAGTGGAGATGTGGCCCAAATGGTAGGAGCCTAGCCTTGAGTAAAATAGCTTCAAGCTCCAGGATACACACACACACACACACACACACACACACACACACACACACACCGAAACAATCCCAAGAATATTATATGCATGTATGGAAATATCAAAATGAAACATCTTTGTACAATTAATATACACTAATAAAAATCAAACACATTAAAAAAAACCCTGAGGGTCCCAGAGAACAGTATCTGTTACTTCTTAGCTGTATGTGTGCTGTGCCGCCCCTATGTGCTTCCTTTCCTTTCCTTTCCAACTTTTACTTTCTATGTGCTCTTTAGATGAAAGGTAGACACTGCCTCTCTCCAAGCACAGCTGCCTTCCCAGATGCTACCTCTCGCCTGCACTAGTCAAGATCCATCGCAGAATGTTTGAGGGAAACAGGTCTGGGTTCCCCCTCCTAAGCTCCCGAGAAGCAACACAGCCCTAGAAGAACATCTTGTGTTAGAGAACCTTGTAAGCTGGATGTGGGGGTGGCACCCCTGTAATCACAGCGCTTGGGAGGATGCAACAAGAGGATTACAAATTCAAGGCCGGTCTAGGTTATATAGGAAATCTGAGGCTAGCCTGAGGTACCAAAGAGAGACTCTATCTCAAGAAAACCACGGAAAATAATGATGAACTATTCCTGTGTACAATTATATTTCTATTATTTCAGTAGTCACACAAAGGAGTCACCCTTCAACCAGTCAGCTTATCAGTACAACACATTTTCACCTATGCTACCACGTTCATTCTTCCCATCCCTCCAACCCAAACCCTGCTTATTTTTTAATTTCATAGGACATGCATTGAATATTATAACTTCATTCTCCCCACTTTCTTCTCTTTCTTGTTACTTCTCCCTCTCTTTGTTGTTGGCTTTTGAATCTCAATCCTCAGATCTCAGCCTCCTGAGTATCTGGGATTACAAGAGTAAGACACCAGAGCCCAGCTTCCTCTCTTCTTCTATCAACCCTCATCTCTTTGACCTTCCTCCAGCATCTTTCAAGTGCTAGTTTCCTGGTATTCACGCTGTTGGACTGTGAGTTCATTTTCTTAAAGAATTACACAAGCCCTTTCTGCATTTCTCCCAAAGGTTTTGACCAAAGCCACTAATGAATCCTGCCACATATTCTTACCCATACTGTCTCCTAGGAATGAACACATTACCTAATTTCTCCTGAGTTAAGTGAGCACCCAGAGAAATGAAAACAAATTTATTATAAAAGCAAATGTTCCTGGAAAATGAATTATGAAGTTCAATGAACTTGAAGTAAGCTTAAGAAATGTAATCCTTTCAACAGTTCTGAGAGACTGATACAGTGACCCTCAGGTTTGAAAACTAGGAATCAGAACAGTGAAGCAATTTCCCTCAGGTCATATAGCAATAGTGGCAGCAAATTCCAGCCCAGATTTCCATCACTTCAAAGTTCAGGTCTTTTTCTATTCAACCATGAAGATCAGTGAGATTAATGCCAAGTAAGGTTGCAGATTCAGTGAACAAAAATATCAGATGTTCTGTTAAATTTAAATGTAAACTTTTCATGAAGTAGTTACATGTAAGTGTCTGGGCCAGAATATACCATACAGGGCTGAGAAGGTGGCTCAGTGGGAGAGCGCTTGCCTTGCATACATGAGGCCCTGGGTTCGATTCCCCAAAACCACATAAGCAAAAAGAAAAAAAGCCAGAAGTGGCGCTGTGGCTCAAGTGGT